TCAGAAGCTGAGATGGAAAGCTGAGTCTATTTGGTGCTTAAGCACTGGAGAGCTTGTAAGACACAGTCTCTTTGAGCAAAGCAGAAGTGACCTGATGTAGGGTTTTGGGAAGCACGGTGTCAGGGATTGAGGGATTTTCAGAGTCGAGAGTGTTTACATCCAGTGGTGGCTGATGTGTATCTGTTGCTGATGAGCTGACTTTCAGAAGTGTGGTCACTGGGGCAAATCTTCGCTGATGGATGATCACACAGCTTGAAAACAGGTTCTGGGGGTTCCATGTGGGAGTTACAAATTCTCATCCTTCACAACATTTGGCTAAGGTGTCATCTACCAATAATAGACTCCTTGGCTAATGTCTTCACTCTTGTGGCCTGAGAGCTTCGAGAGAAGGAAGAAGCATGGAAGATGGCAAACAGGACACATTTCTCTTAGGTAGTGTCTGCTGGCTCCAGGGAGTGAGGTGCTGTCTACATTTGCCCAAGAGCAGGAAGAAACCACAAAATGCTTTGGGCTAGAGCCCTTGCCCTCTCTCATGCCTCTCTCACCCCAGGGTCTACTTAGCCACCTTTAGAGAAGGATGAGGCAAGAGAAGAAATACTAAAGGTTGTCCAGGTCCACAAGTCAGGAGGGATGCTGGAGGATGGGTGGGGTGGAAGGAGAGAAAGGAGTGGAAGTGGATGAGGGCTCCTGGCTGGTGAGGATGTAAAGCTAAAGTGACCTCGTGCTTGATGGCAGCAAGCCATCCCAGGATAGCAAGGGAACATGGCTGGGACCCTCCAACCCTGATGGGACACACAGCCTTGTAAAGCTCACGGACCTCTTGGAAGGGCCAACTCCACATCGAAGGGCAAGCCTGAGTTAGCACTCCTGCCCCCACGATGGCCTGGCCACCTCTATTACAGGGCTGCCCCTCAACACCTATGTTTGGAGGAAGGCACTTCTCTCTGACCCTCCAGGGAGGATGGGGGCTAGGGGGAAGGGAGGGACAGGAGGACTCTGAAACTGTGGGCAGCCTTGCCTGAGTGTCTGCAGCCCAGGAAAATCATCCTGTGCTCCTGTGACCCCAAACAGTGACTCTACCTGGCTGCTCCATGATGCAGCCCACACTGGTTTCCCACAATGTGGGGGAGAGGATGGGCAGCTGGTATGGAGATGAGAAGAAGAAAGAAATAGGAGTGTTTCTGGCTCATTTGGGGAGGCTCACAGGGCACTGTGCAAGAGGACTGTGCAAGAGGACTGTGGTCATGGACCATCTGTAGTAGGAGGTCACTCCCCTGCAAGAAGGACCCTGCCCCTCCTCCTCTTTGGTAGAGCCCTCCTTCTCATACATTTCAAAGCACCCCAATACAACAGGTGGAAAAAGAGGACAAATAGGACAGAAGGACAGGAGTATAGGGAGGATTAAAGGAACAGAACAGGAGGGTGAAGTGGACGGAATGACAGGAGGACAGAAAGACAGGTAGATGAGGTGGACAGGAGGACAAGAATGACAGGTGACAAAGAAGACAGAAGGACAGGAAGACAGAATAATGAAGAGGATGGGAAGATGAGGAGGATGAGGTGGACAGAATGACAGGAGGACAGAAGGACAGATGGATGAGGACAGGAGGATAAGAAAGAACAAAGAGGACAGGAGGACAGAAGGACAGGTGGATGATGAGGACAGGCAGACGAGGAGGATGAGGACAGGAGGACAGGTGGTGGAGGAGGACAGGAGGAAGGGAGAGGAAAGGAGAATGAGTGACCCACTGCTGGCCAGCAGCTAAAAGGAAGTGGTTCTGATAAGGAAAATCTGTGTCCTAAGATGGCCGACCGAGCCAGCGAGAGAGTCCCGGTCCTTGCCCCGGGGCTCTTCTGTGTTCTTCTCCCTGTTCTGCATCCCGCATGCACCAATCCAGGTTCTTCCCCCTGCCCTGCTTGGCGCACTCGCTGAAAGTGCCAAGTATGTGGAAGTAGAAGTGTATAAATTGCCCCCTTTGTTTGTGCTCGGGGCTCAGACCTTTGGACACCACTCTCTTCTTAGCCCACCAGCGTTAAATAAACCTCTTATCCTCCAAGATCTCCGAGTGCCACTTGGTTCTTCCGTCGGGCTACCCAGTCCAGGTTCCGTAACAGTCCCAGAGAGACTCCAATAAGGGCAGGAGGACAGGGTAGTGATTTCTCTCTCAGAACCTAGTCCTTACCACAGAAGGTATTATCAGGCAGATGGCTGACCATGTGGTCAGGCTCTGGGACAACCTAGAGTCCTTCTGAAGGGAAGGAGACTCGGCCTTATGGAGATCTGTCCAACCAGTCCAGGAAGGGTGCCTTCTGACCATCCCTGGGACCCCGCAAGGAGCCCCTACATGTGAGAAAGCAGACAGTACCAGTGGTCCTGCAGATATGCTATTTTCAAGATTTGGCTGTTTGCTTTTCTGAGCAATCATTAAACTTACTTTTTCCACCTCTGGTATTTCCTACATGTGAAAATTAGCTCTGGAGTTCACTTTTGCTTTCTGTTTTCTAATAATTATTGTCATTGAAGGAGACTGATTTTGTTGTTGTTATTTACTCAGATGCTATTTATAACATTCTTGTCCCTGGAAGAGCTGAGGCCAGAACCTGGGATGTTTCCCAAGAGAAAGAAAGAAAATTGATTCTAACCAGGTCTCCTGAGTTCTGTGGCTCCAGGGGATTTAGGAATCCTCTGAAAGTGTCAAATGTTGCATGTGTGCTTTCTTGGAAGGGGGCGGGGGGATGTCGTTGGTTAAAAATTTAACAATATTCTCAAAATGTATTTGACCAAGAAAAGGTGACAACTGGCTCAGAAAGATGCTGCCCTAAATCCTCTCAAATGAAACAATTCTGGGATCCCATGGATAAAGGCGAGAAAAGAGAGGACGGAAGTGAGAGGAGGCGGGTAGAAACAGACAAAGACTGGGAGGAGAGAGAGAGAGTTAGGGACAAGGTAGGCACTGTGACTCAGCATCCCTCAGGACAGGCAGAGGCAAAACCCTGCTGTTAATCTCAGGCTTCTGGGACCAACTGGTGTCTTAGGTCCAAACCCTGCCTCCGCGTGGGGACAGCAGTGAGTAAAAAATCAGCCCTGGGACCAAGGATTGGCCCAGTGGGAACCACGTTGTCCAATGAAAGGCAAAAGCCAAACTGATCATGCATCATCAGTTACCAGACAGATCAGGCCTAATAACTACATTCCTGAAATGTGAACACATCCTCAGTTCTCCGGTTGGATTGGTCCTAACAATTTAGAAAAAAGAGAGTCTGTTAAGTTTGTTAATTTACTCATTTGTGGGACTATTTATTTGGTTAGCTGCAGTTAGTCTACCAAGTACGTGAGCAATAAATGAACTTTTGCTTTTTCTGGTATACAGCCGTCTGACAACTCCAGCGTCCTAGAACTCCACTTCTCTCCCCCAACATTCGCTTGGTGCTGGAGTATTTGTTTTTATCCCTTCTGTGAGAAAACGATATCTGTGGATGCTGGAAAGGGGATAGGAATGCAGAAATGGGGTTTTAGGGGCACCATCGAAGCATTAATGGGGACCATTGGTTTCTGGGAGGAGGCCAAGAAAGGGCTAGATTGTCCCAAGGTGGAGCTTTCAGAGTGGCAGATGTGTGTGTGTGTGTGTGTGTGTGTGTGTGCGCGCGTACGTGTAGGATATCTGAAGATGGATCAACTGCCTTCAGGTGGAGGAATGGTCCCATGTGGGGGCTAAACGTATTGTGATGGGGAAAATCAGGCTCAGGTCAATGAGCATCATGTGGTTCCAAGGGTGTTTAAAGGTCCAGGTGGAACTGGGGGTACAGCACCCCAGCATCAGGGGGATGTGTGTCCATGCATGTGGGAAGCACAGCTCTGATGGCTTCCAGCTGGAGGATAGCCGTACAGCACCAGGAACCACCTGGACGTGAGGGTGCACTGGCGGGTCAGGAGAGGGGAGGGACAGGGAGCCTAGCAGCAAGAACCCCCAGGTTCTTGCCTGCCTTGTGCTGCAATCCCAGATCCCTCCTCCTTCTTCTTTCTTTTCTTTCACTTCTTCCCACTCTCCACCCTGGGCTACGGAGAGGTTCCTACAAGGCCTGGGTGTGCCACCAGGCAGATCTATCTCAGCTCCTCCTTGGGTACAACCTCCACTGTCGCTCACTTCTAGTAGGTGCGTCTGGTGTCTGGAGGCTCCTCCTAGGCCATGTCTCCATGGACTCTGGATCTTGGGTCAGCCCTTTCCTGTCTAGTAGTCATCCAAGCATGACGTTTTGAGGGAAGGAGCCAAGAGCTCAGGCTTTAAAATGGTTTCTTCTGCGTCTTGGTGAGTGTGTGCTCGTGTGTGTAGTCACCTGTGCTGATGGGGTTCAGGTGAGCACAGACTGGAGGGGCTGTTCCCTGGAGCTTTACCCACCTCCAACTCTCACAAGCTGGAAAATAGGGGGCTTGATGAGGAGAAACCTCTTCCAGAGCCAGACTGTTTTCTAGTCCTGGGCCCCTATTAAAGCTGTGGCCCACGGTCCAGATTAAAGGAGGGGTGGGGAGTCAGAGCTGGCCGCTCAAATAACCAAACATCATTCATTATAGTTTCAGCGTAGATGGAAACAAACGCAAAGTACATCTGCGGGGGCTGTGTAATATCAGTGTAATATCAGTTAACATACAGCGTAATATCGGTTTCAGTATCAGCAGAATTTAGTGATTCATCACTTACATACAACACTTGGTGCTCATCATAACAAGTGCCCTCCTTAATGCCCATTCCCCATTTAGCCCATCCCCCCCGCCCACCTCCCCTCCAGCAACCCTTTGTTTGTTCTCTTTAATTAAGGATCCATTTTATGGTTTGCCTCTCTCTCTTTTTTTCTCCTCATGTTCATCAGTTTCGTTTCTTAAATTCCACACATGAGTGAAATCATATGGTATTTATTTATTATTTTAAAATTGAGGTGAAATTCACATAGCATAAAATTTACCTTTTTAAAATGACCAATTTGGTGGCATTTAGTACATTCACAATGTTATGCAACCTCTATCTAGTTCCAAACATTTTCACTGGAAATGAACATTTGGAAAGTGTTCCAGAATTATTTTCATCACCTGAAAAGGAAACTCTGTAGCCATTAAGCAGTTGCTCCTTGGTTTGTGGCAGCCTCACCCCAATCCCTGCCTACTTCTGTCTTCACGTGGCTGCCTTCCTCTGTGTCTCTTCTCTTTCTATAAGGACACCAGTTATGGAATTCAGTACATCAGCAAAGACCCAGTCTCCAAATAAGGTTACATTCACAGACACTGGGGGTTAGTTAAGGCTTCAGCATGTCTTTTGGGGGACACTGTTCAACCAATTCTGCCACCAATATGCATTCTGTCTCTGGATTTACCTATTCTGGGTATGAGATTTTGCATCATAAATACTAATTAGGAAGTTACCACTCATTCCAGAATGAAAAGCCACTGTACTTTGAACTCCTAATTTGCTCCAATAGACTTTCCTTTTTTTTTTTTTTAAGATTTTATTTATTCATTTGAGAGACAGACAGACAGACAGACAGAGCACAAGCAGGGGGAGAGGCAGAGGCAGAGGGAGAAGCAGGCTCCCAGCTGAGCAGGGAGCCCGATGTGGGGCTTGATCCCAGGACCTGGAGATCATGACCCGAGCCGAAGGCAGATGCCCAACCATCTGAGCCACCCAGGTGCCCCATGGACTTTTCTTTTATAACAAGTCCTCCCACCTTCCCCCTTTTCTCTATAAAACAGTATTCCTCTCCTTTGTTCTCCAGACTTGCCTATGGTTTTGCCATAGCTTGCTTGTCCTGAATTGTAATTCTTTGCCATTCCCCAATAACCCATTTTTTGCTGATAAAATAACTGACGGTTTTATTTTATTTATTTATTTTTTTTGAAGACTGACGGTTTTATTTTTAACGTTAACAGCTCTTTAGTAAGTCAAGTCCTATTCCTGTTCCATCTCTTCATTCTACTCCTCTTTCAAACAATGCTATTTGTCTGCTTTGACATGTACCATTAAATTCATTTGCATCTTTGGTAAGTCTGTGTTGTAGTTTGTGTTTTTATGTTAAATTTACACAACTAGTACAATTCTCTGGAACAGGTTCTTTTTTTACTTTTTCCACAGCATTGTATCTGTCTATGTCCATTTTGCCGTGAGCACAGTGGGAACAGAGAGTTACAAAATAGAGTTACAATTGCTAGGGGGTCCCAAAATGGAGCCAGGAGGTCATTAGAAAAACAGAGCTTATGCACTTCCACACCCATATGGAAATTGAATTCTCACACCTGAGCCTTAACCACATAACCACATCCTGCAACATTTCTATATATGAGATAGCTCAAACTTTCTCAGCATCAAACACAATTCTTTCAACAACAGTTGATATAATCTTGCAGTTTTGGCCTTTATAACCCCTAATTTCTCTCCCAAGTTCAATTCCTCGTGAATCTGTGTCTCCTGAATTGCAACTCCTAAGACCCCAAATAAATGCATTGCTGGTTTTTACAGCTTCAGTCTGAAATTTGTTAGCAATACCTACATGGTATTTCACGGTGGCTCTTTCTGCATCATCTCTCCTCACACATGGCCTCACCTTCCTCATCTTTGATACTCATGGAGGAGTGCCCCATGTTTGTTTTAATTTCCATTTTTCCTCATGACACTTGATTTTGAGCAACATTTCATATATCTATAGGCCTTTCAGGTTTCTCCTTGTGTGGATTGTCTCTTCATAGTCTTTATTTTTCCATAGTGCTTCCTGTTCATTTCTTCTCAATTTGTAGAATATGTTCTGTCCATTGACAGTTGTTTTAAATATCTTTTTCTCAGGAGCGATAAAAGAAGGAAATTTGGAACATGAAAAATGAAGAAAGAACAGCAGAAAAAGTGAACTATGAGGAGATATAAAAACTATCCTCCTCCTGAGCTTTCTAAATTGTGTTAGATGCTTAAAGCAAAATTTTTGTCTGATATGATTCTCAGTGTATGTAGAGGAAATATTTAAGACAATTTTAGTCTAAAGTGGGGGGGGGCGGTAAAGGGGCCCAAATGGAAGTAAAGCTTCTATACTTAAAAAAATATATCTTTTTCTTACCTGGCCTCTTCCGTTGTGTATATGATGACTGTCATTGAAGAGAAACCTTCAGTTTTGATGTCATCAAAGCCAACCATTTTCTTCTTAGGTTTTTGCTTTAGGGATTAAAAAAATCATCTATTTTATTTTTTCATAAAACTTTACTTTTGTAGATAATTGTAGATTCACATATAGTTTTAAAAAATATTTAATTCAAGTATAATTAGCACGCTGTGTTATATTAGTTTCAAGTGTACAATATAATGATTCAGCAATTCTATACATTTCTCAATGATCATTAAGATAAGTGTACTTTTAGGGCGCCTGGGTGGCTCAGTTGTTAAGCGTCTGCCTTCGGCTCAGGTCATGATCCCAGGGTCCTGGGATCGAGTCCCACATTGGGCTTCCCGCTCTGCGGGAAGCCTGCTTCTCCCTCTCCCACTCCCCCTGCTTGTGTTCCTGCTCTCGCTATGTCTCTCTCTGTTAAATAAATAAATAAATAAATAAAAAAGATAAGTGTACTTTTAATCCCCTTTATCTATTTCATCCATTCCCCCATCCAGCTCCACTCTGGCAACCACCAGTGTGTTCTCTATATTTAAGAGTCTGTTTTTTCATTTGTCTCTTTTATTCTATGTTCTTTCATTTCTTAAGTTCTGCATATGAGTGAAATCATATGGTATTTGTGTTTCTCTGAGTGACTTATTTCGCTTAGCATAATACTCTCCAGCTCCATCCACATCATTGCAAATAGCAAGATTCCATTCTTTTTGATGGCTGATTGTGTATGTATATATATATACCACCTCTTTATCCATTTATCAGTTGGTGGACATTTGGGTTCTTTCCATTGTTTGACTCTTGTTGCTATAAACATCAGCTACACATATCCCTTCAAATCTGTATTTTAGTATCCTTTGGGTAAATACCTAGTAGTCCCTATGCAGTAATTTTCATCTCCATAACTTATTTATTTTATAACTAGAAGTTTGTACCTCTTAATCCACTTCACCTATATCACCTATTACCACCTCCCCTCTGGCAATCACCAGTTTGTTCTCTGTTTTTGAGAATCTTTATGTTTGTTTTGTTTTTTAGATTCCTCTCTGAGTGAAGTCATATGGTATTTGTCTTTCTCTGACTTATTCTACTTAGAATAATACCCTCTAGGTCTATCCACGTTGTTGCAAATGGCAAAAATCTCATTCTTTTTTATGGCTGAATAATATTCCACTGCATATAGACCACATCTTCTTTATCCATCTATTGATGGACACTTGGGTTGCTTTCATATCTTGGCTATTGTAAAGCTATTGGAAATAATGCTTCAATAAACATAGTGGTGCATATCTTTTCAAATTAGTATTTTCATTTTCTTTAGGTGACTACCCGGTAGTGGAATACTGGATTATATGGTATTTCTCTTTTTGACTTTTTGACCTCCATACTGTTTTCCAGAGTGGTTGCACCAATTTACATTCCCACCAACAGTGCATGAGGGTTCCCTTTTCTCCACATCCTGGCTAATACTTGTTATTTCTTGTCTTTTTGATACTAGTCCTTTTGAGAGGTGTGAGGTGATATCTCATTGTGGTTTTGATATGAATTTCCATGATAATTAGTGATGTTGAGCATCTTTTCATGTGTCTGTTGACCATTTAATTGTCTTCTTTGGAAAAATGTTTATTCAGGTCCTCTGCCATTTTTAAATTGAATCGTTTGTTGTTTTTTTGGTGTTGAGTTGCATAAATTCTTTATATATTTTGGATATTAACCCCTTATTGGGTATATCATTGGTAAATATCTTCTTCTGTTCAGTAGGTTGCCTAGTCATTTTGTTGATGGTTTCCTTTGCTGTGCAAAAGATTTTTATTTTGGGGGCACCTGGGTGGCTCAGACAGTTAAGTGTCTGACTCTTGATTTCAGCTCATGTCATGATCTCTGTGTCGTGGGATTGAGCCCTGTGTTGGGCACTGTACTTAGCATGGAGTCTGCTTGAGATTCTCTCTGTCCTTCTCCCTCTGCCCTCCCTGCTACTTTTGTTTTCTCTAAAAGTAAATGAATAAATAAAATCTTAAAAAAAATTGAAAAAGATCTTTATTTTGTTGTAGTCTCAATAGTTTATTTTTTCTTTTGTTTCTGTCACCTGGAGATGTATCTGTAAATACATTGCTAAGGCTGATGTCCAAGAGATGACTATATTTTCTTTTAGGAATTTTATGGTTTCAGTTCTCACATTTATGTCTGTAATCCATTTTGAGTTTATTTTTGTGTATGATGCTAGAAAGTGATCCAGGTTTATTCTTTTGCATGTAGCTGTCTAGTTTTCTCAACACTATTTATTGAAAAGACTGCCTTTTCCCATTTGTATATTCTTGCTTCCTTTGTTGTAGATTAATTGACCATGTAGGTGTGAGTTTATTTTTGAGCTCTCTATCCTATTCTATTGATCTATGTGTCCATTTTTGTGCCAGTATCATACTCTTGATTACTGTAACGTTGTGGTATATCTTTTTTTTAAAATTTTTATTGTTATGTTAATCACGATACATTACATCATTCGTTTCTGATGTAGTGTTCCATGATTCATTGTTTGCATAAACACCCAGTGCTCCATTCAGAACATGCC